GAAAAGGACTCCGGGGAGCTCACTTGCCCCTTTCACCAAGTGAGGGTACAGAAGGAAGATGGCTGTCCACGAACCAGGAAGAGAGTCCTCAGCAGATATGGAACGGACTGGTACCCTGATCTTGAACTTCCTAGCTGCCAGAACTCTGAGCGGTACATTTCTATTGTTGATAAGCCCCCTCCTCGGTGGTACTTTTGTTACAGCAGCCCAAATGAACAAGGCAGCTTTCCAAGTATCTTTCCAAGACCCCTGATTTTAGCAGTCTGGCTTCCCCTTCTCCTTGATGATTTCTTTCCTCCAGCTTGAGTAATAGATTGTCCCTCCAGTGCCTAGTCATGGGTTTCATTCTGGCCATGAAGACCCTCCGGTAAAAGGAAAACTTAATGACAGATTCCCATGCAAGTGACCATAGCTGTCCAAGGCAATCCTCCAGCTCACCAGGTCACCCCTGGAGGCAGCCCAGACTAAACACGGAAACAGCACTTCAGAGGAGGGGTGAGAAGTCTCCCCAGGGTGATCCAGATGGTTTCATAAGAGGACTGTTCTCCTGGGGTCAGAAGTCAGCCTTGAGAACTTTGTCTGAAAGCCTATTTTATGTCATTGCAAAGGGAGGGGGGGTGTGGTCTCAGGGAGAGATAGTGATGCTGAAATCACCTGGCCCTGGTGTAGCACACCTTGTAATTTTCCATTTGTCTTTGGGCAAGTCGATTCCTACATTATTCCAGGTAAGGCATTGGAGCTGGTGTAGGCAGACAGTTTAGAGTTTGGGAGTGAGGCAGAATGGGTTTGGATCATAGTTCTGCCATTTATCAGTGGGTCTGAGATGTGAGCTTCCTCATCTGTAAAATGCATAGCATAATAAAGGTAATGGTGGAAATTAAGAGTCATGTACACAAAGCTTCTCACACTGTAGGCCCTTAGTAACTACTGCATCAACCATTGGCCCTCCCCACTCAACCGGATCAAACTGCCTTAAGAAATGCTTCTGGAGTCCTCAGCATTCAGGGATCAGGTCCATGGTGAACCAAACTACATCCATTCATTGGCTTACAAATCCTATCCCTATAGGCTAACTCATCCAGGAGTACAAACAGGAGCGCACCATCCAGCTTCCGTGCCTGTTCGGTGGAGATATAGGAGGTTCTGCGTCACCATGGACACTCCCTCAAGGGCCAGGCATGGATACAACAGGGCGACTCAACAATGCTGACACCCCAGTGGACAATGGGCCTCGCTACTATAGAATGCAGAAATCGGATTCAATCTGAGTTCAGGAATTGGATGGCTTCCCCAAATCAAGATCATTCCAATCCTTTCAATGGGCTGAGCAAGTGACAGTAAGGAAGAGATACTGTCCCTGCTCTCGTGGACCTTAGATCCCAGAACAGGGTCAATTCGAGCAGATTCTGTGGGTGATTCTAACTTTCTCCTCTATTGGGATTATTACACACCCAGTGGATTTATGTCAGAGCTTTTATTGGTTTCCTTCTACCAGAAGGAACGAACATCCCCTGTCCAAGTGTCAAATCACATCTCAGGGTGTCACAGGGGCTCTGATTAGACATTTGGGTGTGGTCCTATCAGGGTATGTAAAATGGAGGGCTTCTTCCTGGGGGCAAGAAAGTAGTCAGAGTTTTAAAGGATGAATAGGTACTTTGCAGGCCGTCACAGGAGGAGGAAGGGCACTGTAGACAAAAGCTACAACATGTGCAAACACCTGGAGGTAAGAATTAGGTGCTTGTCCTCAAAGCAACCATGAGAAGCTCCAGCATGGTTCAGTCTCAGGAGGGGAGGGGTGCCGGGGCTGTGAGGGATTTCCTAACATCTACCAAGGATCTCAATCACACCTGAATCTGCCTCTTACGTTGTTTTATATGGTTCCTGCCAGCTCTGCGAGTTTCGTTAATAATTCCCATTTTATAGGGCAGAAAACTGAGGCTTGGGATGGTTGAGAATGGCTCAAAGCCATGCAGTTAAGTTAGGATTTCAGACCCAGGTACATCAGAGGACGAGACCCATGCTTCGTCTCCTCTGCAAGCACTATCCAGCTTTCATGCCTCAGTCAATATTTGTTGAGCCCTGCTGGGTGCCAGGTACCATTCCAGCCTGGGGCCAGAGCAGCAGACCAGAGAAGGACCCTGCCTTCACAGAGTGAGCACTGTGATAGAGGGAGGAGGGAAAGGGGCATGTGGACAAATGCCCATGCTAATTTTGAAGGAATGAAGTGCTCTGAAGAAAAATTATAAATGAGAATGAGAGTCTGTGTTGGCCAAGGCTGGAGAGATGGAACCTTTCCCCCGAGTAGGTGGGGAAGTCTTTCTGAAGAGGTGACACATAGCCAGACCTGAGTGATGAGGAGTCAGACATGAGGAGATCTAGAGGGACACAGGGCAGACACTCTGCACACAGAGGAAAGTGCAAAGATCCTGCACATGTGCCACCTTGCGTATCCAAGGGACATAAAGCAGGCCAGCATGGAACAGAGAGAGCCATGTGGTCCAGAGGATCAAGAAAGGCCCGTTCACATGCTTCAGGGAAAGCAGTTTATCCTGGGTCAAGAGGATTTAAGGCCAGAATGTGGAGTAAGGCAGAGGTCCTATTGTCAGGGTTACAGGGGTAGCTTCCCTGGGAGAGTTGGCCTGGGACAAAGGAAATATCCCCCACTCTGCCTCTTCCCCACTGTGTGACCCTAGGCTAGTAATTTAACCTCTCTGAACTTCAGCCTCTTCCCATGGATAGTGGAGATTATAATACCCGCCTCGCAGACTGCTAATGGGACTGGGCACCAGACACTGGACCATCTATTTGTCCCTGCTAGGGAGTTAATGGAAAATCCCCTTGGAGATCATGGACCCTCCAGTGTGCTCTTGAAGGGCCACTAGTAGGACTCAGAAAATCAATTGCTTAACAAATAATCGCTTGCCCATCCTGATAATCGACAGACTTGTCCAAGCAGCCCTGGCCAGTAGAAGTACTGGCCTTAGAGGCTGTTGCACTCTTCAAATATCCCAAGGCAAGACTTCATAGTTAACCTTTGATGACCAAAAGCAACCTCAAGTCTTTCTGAGTGTTCCTTTTTAAACTTTAATGTGCTCATGAATTATCTAGGATCTGGTTACAGTGCAGATTCTGATGGAGCAGGACTGAGTGGGCCTGAGCTGCTCCATTTCTTACATGTTCCCAAGTAATGGAGGTTCATCCAGGGACCAGACTTTGAGGAGCAAGGATTTAGAGCCAAATGGTTTCCATTGCACAGACAACATTGGACCCACCCCAGGAAGATTACCAAGTGACAGCTTGTCTTTAGTATTTTCTTATTGAATCCATTAGATAAATAAGTACTCCTAGAATGCCCTTTATGCACAAGGCATCATCTGGGAAGTTGGACTTCAGTGAGAAGCAAGGGCCACGGCTGCCCTTACAGAGCATTTATCCTAGTAGCTGAGAACCAATTAAGCAAGTGATTGGGATAATCTAAATGTGGGACTTGGGGGTCCAGGGTGTCAGCTCAAGGGAGTCTGGAAGACCTGGATGAAGTGGCATTTAGGCAGAGTGTTGGTCCTGGGGAGGTGTACAGGCACAGGGGCCAGCACCGCCAGGGGCCAAGGCTACCCAGCCTGTCAGAGGTACCAACTCAGATTCCAATCAGATCTGCCGGATCCAAAGACTTGCTCTGGCTAGTAACTTCCATGCTGCATGAATCAAGTCTTGCAAAAGAGAAGCTGCCAGCTGTCCTTCCCCGGAGATGTCCGAGCAGCTGGCCCCAGACTGGAAAAATATCTGGGGAGCAGAAACCTCGGCATCACCTGACAGGCGTGGCGATTATGAAACTTGCCTCCACACCAAACACATTGCACCACCGACACTGTCCAGGCATTGCTTCAAATGTCCTTCCTCCCAGTGGCTTGTGACTGAGAAGTGTGATCACCCTCTGATCGCTGCTAAGAATAGTCCTTTATTTTGCCTGTCACATTAGTTGGTTATCCCTGGGGTGAAGTTCATCAGAAAGTAAAAGTCCAACGACCTGGGAATTTCCAGGACTCTTCCAAGGGAAAGAGACAGAAATTTACCTGAAACAAACACACTCTGTGCCAGATAAAGCACATCAATACCTTATTTAAATTAAGCAGAGGTGGCAGATTGGTCTGGGAAGAAACTAAATGCTGCTGTGTGACTCTGGCAAAGTCTCTGATCTCTACTAACCTCAGTTTCCTCGTCTGTTAAATGGGAGACGAATTCCTACCTCACCAACTTTATAGGAGTCAATGTTCATGAAATGTTAAGCTCAGCAATGATATATGAGGATGGGGAAAAGTCTTCATTACAATCTGGAGAGGTAAGAAAAGATGAGGAGACTGAGAGTCAAAAAGGTTGAGTTCTTGAGTCTCCAAAGTAAACATATGGTAAACCAGATTTGAAGTCCAGTCTACTTCTGAATCCCAATATCTTTCTCCATTCATTCTCTTCACAACCTCCTTATGTTAGAATTATATGCTTTTCCAATTGGCTTTGTTTGGCTGCTATAATTTGGATATGAAGTGTCCCTAAAGACTCGTGTTGAAGGCTTGGTCCCCAATTTCAGCAATGTTCAGAGGTGGGGCTTTTGGGAATTGATTGGCTCATGAGGGCTCTGACCTCATTAGTGGATTGATTCATTGAGAGATTCATAGCTGAATGTATATTTGGGAGGTGGTGAAAACTCTACTGTCATGTATATCTAAAAAGAACCAATTTTTTAAAAGTATATGGTATAATAAATAAATAGATAAATAAAACAGGCAAATATATTTTCCTGCCCAGAAATATTAGGCTTGACCATTGACTTATCTCAGGCAAAGGAATGTGGATAGAAATGACAGCATGGGAGTTTTGAGCTGACACCTTCAGGGGCATGTCTGTTTCCCCTCCTGTCTTGCCCCCATATACTATGAGAAGAGCAAGCCAGAAACCCTTTAAGCCTGGCCCCCAAATCACCCAATAGGAGCAGACCCAGACCTTACCCAAAGCCACACCAGCCTGCAACTTGAACCAGAGCTTCTCAGCCAATCCTCAAACCTGTGAGAAAAATAAATGCTTGTAATTGTAAGCAACTGAATTTGGGAAGGTTTGTTACCCAGCATAATTATGTCATATCTGACTAATACACAACTATAACATAACCAAGTTGGGCCAGCTCAGTAAGAATTTTCAAGTATACCTACTATGTGCAATGGAAAGTAATAAGTTCATATTATCTCTACCATCAAAGATATTGTTATTGCTTTTTATATCTCTTCTGCCTAGAATAATCTTGATACAGGGTAGAAAAATCACTCCATTTTGTATGAAAAATTAAATAAATGGGTGCATGGAATGTATATTGTGGAAGAGCAAAGCGCAGCTCCATTAAAAGAGACCTGGCATTGTTGAGGCAAATATTGTCCAGGATCTCAGTGTGGTCTCAGAACAGCCTATCCAGAACATGTGAGACTCAGCTGATCCTAGGAGGACAGGAAGGGTTTAAGGGAGTAGAGCATAGTCCCCCAGCCACATCACTACTGGGCTGGAGAAAAATCAGACACAGTGGGTACAAATCTTCAGGCTGCCACGCCTAGCTGTGTGACCTTGGACAAGTCACATGTCTCTGAACTTCAGATGAGTTCCTCTCTTCCCTTGGCCCATGAGGGCCTCCTCCTCCTATGTCTGCCTATAAAGTCTTTCTTGAGTCCCTCCTCCCTCCCCTGAGGTGTCAACTACCCCCAACAGAAATGATCTGGTCCCCACCATCCTTTGGGGTCCTCTCTGCATGCATCTTTTCCCTGTGTGGATGATGGGCTACCTCAGGGCAGTCCCTTCCTCAGCCCTGGATGTGTGCAGCCCTAGCACAGTGCTTGCACCTAACAGCCTATTGGTAAATCCTTGCCAACTTTGACTAAGCCAAAGGAGATTGCACCTAATCTGTTTATATATTGTTTTCAAGAAGGGTCTCAGGGTTAAATATATATGTTTTTTTTTTCTTTTTAATACACGCTGAAAAACTCATCCACACAAACAAACATGGATGCAAACCAACATGTCCAACACGGCTCGAGGAGGTTTTTGCAGACTTGTCTCCCATTTAAGGCCTGTAATTTCCCTCTTGGCCGACACTGGCTTTGGCCTGGACCATGTTTCTCAGTCTCATGGCAGGCAGCCTGCTTGGGTTTGGGTTTAGTGTTGCTTCTTTTTTTTCTTCCTCGGATCTGAAACTGAAGCCGCAGGCCTTTCCAAAATCCTTTCTCAGCCGTTAGCTGCCATGTCTCATGTCACCTGCGTACCCCTTCTAGGCCGTGTGGATCCATAATTGTATCCAGAGGTCCAGTAACAAGCTGGCAAAGTGAATTTGTTCTAGAAGGGACGAATGGGAGGGACCCACCTGGGGACTATGTGTGACACATGCAAGCCCTCTGCTGTCCCAGAGCCAGCTCTATATCTGATGGGCTGGCCTGCCAGTCAACCTCCAGCATCAAAGAGGTTAGGGAGAGTGGAGGTAAACTGAGGCATGCAAAAACAAAACAACTGGATTGTGCTGCTGAGAGGGCTCATGAGGACTAACCCCTGGGCAGGCAGCAGAGCTGGCTGATGAGACAGCGCTCCAGGGTCAAGCATGGCTGTGTACAAATGCCGGCACTGCTGATCCTGCTGAGCAGGTTCTTGTACTTCTCTGAGCCTCATTTCCCCTCCTGTGAACTGGTAATTCCTACCTTGAGGGGCTGATGCGAGTTCTGAATGAGTTCCTGTGGGTGAGGGGCTAAGCACTCTGTGAGAAATGAATGAATGGTGATTTCCGTTGCTGTAACAGAACCTCCAGTTTCAGAACTGGAAGAGCCTGTCCTGATCCTCCCTACCCTCATCAAGTCAGCTTCATGGCTCCTCCCACAACCTGGGCTCACAGCTCTTATAATGGGCCTCCCTGTTAGAAAGTTCCTCCTCAGGCTGATCAGATGGTCTCCCTGAGTTTTCACCTGATGATCCTTCTCACTCAGGACCACAAAAACAATCTAGACCCTCACCCTGCATTGTGGCCCTCTGCAGAGAAGGCAGCTCTCAGGTGCCAACAGAATTATCGAGGCTCTAATTAGGTATGTACATATACATATACCTGTGTGAACATAAAGAAAGAAAGGCTCGCATATATGATCAGCTCTCCACGTCCCTGGGTTCCACATCCATGGATTCAACTGACCATGGATCAAAAATACCTGGAGAAAAAAAAAAAAAAAGCATCTGTACTGAGCATGTGTACCCATCTATTTGGGACAACTGTTTACACATGTATAAGCAGTTGCAAGGCACATATAAGAGGTGTGCTTAGTCTAAGAGGCCCAGGAGAGCATCTCAGAGGAAGTCGTGTTTAAAGTGAGCAGGAGCTGGGAAGTGGGTGTGCAAAGACCTGTACCTAATAGTGATGAAACAGACACCCACGCACACCCCCTGAGTGTTTGAGGCTGCATATTATAATTGTCAGATTTTCAGTGTTATTTGTCTCTTTAGGCCCAGTGTCCTCCACTGCCACAGCCCCTGTATTTCTGCATTAACTTCTGCACAGTCAAGGAGAGCTGGGTTTGGGTCCAGGCTCTGCCACTCACAAGCTAGGTGACCATTTCTCCAGGGCTCTGCCTCCACAGGGTAGAAAGGGGACGGTGATGCCTCCTCCTGGCCGCTGTGTGGACTGGATGAGGCAGCACACGGAAAGTGGCCCTGCAGGTGGCACATGCTTGGCAGACGCTGGCTTTCTTTCCTTGTTTGACAAGATAATGCCAGCCCATCTGACATTACACCTCTCTGATGGCAGCTAGTGTCAGACTCTGAGACAGTTCCAGTACATTTGGGTTGGAACCAGGTCATTCCAGCCAGTTTGGGGATGTGAGACACCCTAGGTCTGGTGGGCTTAGGACCCAGAGTGAACACTGAGGCACAGGACTAACCTTGCAGAGGCATTGAAGGTCACGGAAGTCAACCTTGATAGTCACTACTATGAAGTTTCATGCTCACAAAGGGAAGGAAGAATTTAATCCAAAGTGGAGTGATTAGTGGAAGCTTCGTGGTGGAGGTGGTAGGAGTGGCAGACATCCCTAATGGTAGTAGCAGAGCCACAGGAACCACAGTGCTAGATCCCAAAAGTCTTCCCCAGGCTTCTCTCAATTGCTAGAACTCTCTCTCTCTCTCTCTCTCTCTCTCTCTCTCTCTCTCTCTCTCTCTCTGTAAAAGGATCTTCCAAGATTATAATGCACTCCCCAACTCTCAATCACCCTTGACTGTTCTTACAATAAATCCAAAATGCCACCCCATGTCTTGAAGGCCCTCTTGTGCTCCCTCCACCAGGGGCCTGATGTCCTCTTCTAACTTCACAAACAGGTGGATGGGGCCTATAGGAGCCAGGCTGCAGTAGTCCCCTGGCAGGAGTGCCCACGTGGCACCTCTGCCTCAGTGACCTCAGGGAAGGCATCAAGGCTACCAGAGGGCAAGCAGAAAAGCAGACTGCGAACCGCGTGCCTACTACTGCAGGGCCTCTCCGAGCAACCCTGCAGACCCTCTCAGGAGGTTCCAATCACAATTATGGCCTGAAGGAGCATGCAAAGGGACATCGTTGAAAAGAATTGAATGCCAGGACTGAGTTTAGAGGTGAGGGCAGGGTTACGAAAACTAGCCAGAGAGGCTGGCAGAGCTTGGAGCTGGCCACAGGGGGAAGCCTAGACCCCTCCACAGGTGCAGGAACAGCTGAGAAATGTGTCCTGAGGCCTGAGAACTGAAGCTAGGACAAGCCCCTGCACCCTCCCCCAGAAGTTATGGCCATTTTGGTTCCAGTCAGTGCCAGAACCGTGGCAAAAAAAAAAAAGGAGTTCAGGAGGAAGAGAGGGACAGAGCCCTGGCCTCTCTTCCCACGCTCCTCTCTCCCACCCTCTTCCTTTTGGCCAGTTATAGGATGGAATTGGGATTTAAAGGGTAAGGGAGTCTGGGTAATGCAGTGTTAGGGAGTAACCTTCTAGCCTAACCTTCTAGGGCTCAGAGCAGGCAGGGAAGAGCATTAAAAGAGAAGGCATAGGAAGGGCCACAAAAAAGAATCACCAATACAGCAAGTGCCCTGCATCCTACAAAGAGTAGGAACAGCCAACCCCAGGGGGTGAACTCTTCCCCAAGAGAGAGAATGCCATTTAAGGGGAAGAGTGAGCCTGTCTGGCAGGCAGTTTTCCCAGCCAGGCCAGAGTGTTCACATAGCACCCGGGTCCTGTGTCTGGTGCATTTGCCAGAATATTCCACACAGCCACAAACATCACATACTTTGGCCCACGCACAGCTATGGAGGGCACAGGGGTTGTTCTCCAATCGAAACCCTACCCATCTTCCCCAGGACCCAGATCTGGGCTGGCAACAAGTGACTTCAGTGCCACCATGACAGAGGCAATGATGATTCAGATCCAAGAACAAAATAATGTGAGTCACGATGGTGGGAAGAAGCAGGTAAGTGTGGGAAGAAGCAGGTAAGTAGCCTGCTGAGATCATTGCATGGATGGAGAAGTCAAGCCCAAGTCTGCCAGCTGCAAGGGCAGGCTGTTGGCCACCATGCCAAACTGTCCTCCATGCCACCTGGAGCCCACAGACAGGCAGTAGAGAGGCAGGAGTCCTGCCCATGGCTTACGCAACACTTCAGGGTCAGAGGGTCAAAGCCTGCCACTCCAGAGTGGTTTTACATCATTGGCCCTGTGCCTCAATTTTCCAGCCAAGTTAATCTCTGTGGTATCCTAAGCTCATCCTGCTTTCTCTAACCCCTGGACCTTTGCACAAGCTGTTCCATTTGCCTGGGACATTGCCTCCCCACTAAATCCTCTTGCAACTGGACTAACTTCACCCTGGTTTAGTATCACTTGCTCCACAAAGCCCTCCAGGGCACCCCAAGTTCTGGAAAGAAGCTTCTCTTGGAAGTGCTGCCTGTCTCTCATATTGTTGCCCACAGGACTCAACCATTCTTTGGATGGTTCTGGCTCTTGGCCTGTGTCCCACACCAGACACAAGCCCTGTAAAGGCTGAGACAGCTGTCTTGCTTGCCCCTGTGTCCTTGGAGCCCAGCTGAGTGGCAAACACGTGGAGCAAGTGGGTGTTGCTGGTACAGGTCCAGCCACACTGGGAAGCACAGCTGATGCTGTAGGAGCAAGTAGAAGCGAATTTCTCCTGTGAGGGAGCAAAGGGCAACCAGGACCCCAGGGAGGGACCCCCAGAGCAGGAGCTGCCTAGCTGAGAACCCCACATGGGCAGGTTTCTATTGAGCACAAGAGAAAAGGTATCCCCAGGAGATGAAAGAGCATGCGCCAAGGCTGGGGGGTGATGGGTGCATCACTCCAGTTACAGGAAGTGAATAAAAGGGGATTATGGAGAGGAGCCTGGGAGAAGGGAGACAGGGCTGGGTGAGAGGAGACCACGTGGGGACCTAGAGGGACAACTGTGTAGTGAAGAGCACAGCTAAGGCTTAGAAAGACCTGAGTTGGGCTCCAGGTTTTGCTATTTTCTGGCAACGTCTAGCTTTTGTGGAACCAAGGATAAGCTGCCTAACCTTTCTAAGCCTCAGATTCTTCCTTATAAAATGGGATAATACTAATTCCTGTCCCTTAGAGAATTAAGTGAGATAATACATGTGAGGGCTTTGCACAGTAAACGGCTCGTGGCAAGCCTCAACAAGTGACGACCCTTGGTGGCTTGGCTGTCCTTTGTGGCCATGGGAGGTGGGGTTTGCTATTACAGGTTTTGTCAACTAGAGAGAAGTTGCTTGGAAAGGATACGTGGAAGGGAAGAAGAGAGGGAAAGTTTTGAGCAGGATCTTGAAAACTAGGTTTCAAGAGGTGACATGGGGGCAGGAGGAGCATGAGCTGGGATTGAGGGCACTGAAGTGCAGGGGCTGTCTGGGGCCAGCTCGGAGGCCAGCCATGCAGTGCACTGGATGGAGAGGGCTTTGGAGTCAGGTAGGGCAGGGCGTGTCTTAAAACACCTCAGGCTTCCTCCCTGAGAAATGGGCTGGTCATCCCTGGCTCCATTATGGTGGTCATAGTCACTGGGGGATGGCATAGTCATTTGTGCGGTGTCCCCGTGCTATAGGGGAGACCAGAGAGAAGGCTGAGCCCACAGCTCGGGGAGGCAGGGCTTCTGTGTCTCCCCTCCCCCACAGGGACTGCCTGAGCCTAGTGCCCTTCCCTCCCCAGCCCTGGGGACAAAGGCCTCCCTGAGCCCCTCAGCAACCTCACTTCCTGCCCCACCCACTCTAAACAGGTGAACCACAATGACCATAGCCTCCTTTTAGGGTGCTGGATTCCCATGGAGACTCTCTGGGGAGAAGGACTGAGAAGAGGAAGCCAATGGCGCTCAGAAGGCTCAGTCCCAGTTGTGGGAGCATCTTCTGGAAGTTCTTCTGGAACTTCTTCTCCCTGGCCTCATCCACCTGGGCGGGATGATATGCTAAAGTCCTTAAAAGGCCAGGCATCTTGGACTCCCAAGTCAGACCCAAAGGCTCATTGCTCAAATAGGGTCAGGGGTGTTCAGAGAGGGACAGGACACTGCTCAGGGCCACGCAGACTGCATTATGATGCAGCCTCCGCTTGGCCTCCCAACCAGCCCTTGCAGCCACTCTTCAGACTTACTGGAATTCCCTTTTTTTAAAGGCAAAGCTGAACGACTTTACCCAGATCTCACAGATAAGAGAAGGGGACCCAGCACCTCTCATTGTGCTATGTGGCCTGAAGAAGCAGTCCAACAATTAAGTCATCTGGCAACTTCAAAATCGGCCTGACACCTCCTCACTCTGTACCCTGCCAAACTTTGCTGCATACAATCTGCACATGTCATCCCCCATCAGCAAGTTGATGTGACCTTGTGCAAGTTATTTAAAATCTCTGTGCCTCTGGTAGCTTTTGACCCAGACCTTGCCTACCCCAGCCTCAGCCTCCTCTCCTGTTATTCTCCCTTCCCCTGCCTCCAGATGCCAAGGCCATTCCCAGGTGTCATAACATCTTCCTATTCCACCATCGTGATAACAAAAGCGACAACTTCTCTCTACTGAGTGCGAATACCATGCTAACAGTATCTCTGCAAGGTCTCTTCAAACTAGCTCTCTCTCCTCTCTCCCTCCCAGCTGCCTAATAGGCCAGGCTTCCAGCTCCAAGGCCACCCTATCCTCCAGACTGGCCAGGGCAAGTCCTCCCACAACCAGTAACGT